TAAACAAAATCGGTGCTTCCATGTGCAGAAAATCTGCTTTGAACATGATGAACATCTGTATTGTCTTTCAGTAAACAAATAATAAGGGAAGATCCCATTAGCAATGTTAAGCTTTCAGGTGATGCTTAATATTGAAATACAGCAGCTTACACCTGCAGCCGCTGTTTACAAAGTAATAACTTATTGCACACAAATGTGCCACCATGTTGGAATTCGTAACGTGAGCCAGTAAGCAATTTACATTTGCAGCTTTATTCTTATTGTCAACCACTATGTCAGTTGGGAAGTATGCATCTACTTGCACAAAATCGCTTGTTACGTTAAATGAATAAATGAGTGCACTTTTGGAATTTAAATTTACTTATGCTAATATTTAACTAAATTGAAAGGTAAAAATATTGACTCGTGTAGGGTTTTTTCCCCCTAAGCTGCATCTCAGGTTTCCCCAACCTCTAGATTGGAAGATATCAATCAGATTTTATCCAATAGAACAGGCTGGGTTTAATTTAAACCCAATCAATGAATAAGCACGGCACTGGTTATTGCACTAGCTGGCACCTTTATATTGCATTTACAATTTGAATATGGTTTTAAAATGGAAGAATTAGAAGGAAAAATTGGATGGGTAATCATAACTGGTGAAACCAAAATGCCAAAGTGGAGTATAGTTGTGGAAAAAAAAAAAGTTATAGGACAGTTGTCAAACTATCCCAAATGTTTGTTTTATTGTTAACTATGCATTTACGTGGCCAAGAAATAGATGGGTAGCCACTTTTCTGACTCTTTTAATTTTCCCCAATGTCATTTGGCAGTTTGCATAAATGAGATTCATTGAAGTATATATTCTCTCGTGCACATGCCTTGTTTTGGCATTTTCAACGACTGTTTTATATTTGAGCACTTCATTCAGGAACTTCTTTATAACACGCACTAATAAAGAGCCTTTACCCCTTAATCAAAGTATCGCACCAGCTGTAAAAACATCAGGAAACTGAAAATACCCAGATCACATTACTAATAAATGAGCTCAGTGCTAATATCATCAGATAGCCCCCTGCCCCCACTCGCTTTGAAAGCTGGAATGAAGACATTTAATTCAAAGGGCCATTACTGTACCATGTTGTACTGATGTACTTGATTAGTTGTCTGCTTTCAGAATAGCAGAGGATAAGATACACTTTGTTGCCGAGTGTGGTAGTTATTGAAATTCCATCTTAGCCTTACTTCCATACCAAAGACAAGTTTTGTAATTACTGAGAAAAAATAGAAGGAATTCTACCGTTTTAGTACCACCACTTTCAGATTCAATTCTTACCCCAGTTTTTAAGCATGTTTTAAAATGCATTTATGAAAATGTCACCCATGATTAAATGGGGCCAAGATTGTGGGGTTGAAAAGGGAATTTGTTTTATGCATAATTGTGATTTGCATACGACCACTGTATCACTTGAATTTTATTTACATGACATGTCCGATTTCATGCTTCTGGGATTTATAGCAGGAAAGTTCTTAGGAGATGAAGAAAGTCCACAATGGAATTTCTGTTTGTTGTGACGCTCTGTAAATAAGCTCCATTTATAAAAGGAAAAAATGACACTGTATTACAAGTTTGACTGACATTCTTATTGATAATATGACCATGATTATAGTGATCCAGTGGTCTTTGACAAAGTTTTTGTTTTGTTTTTGTTACAATTATTAGTTTACATAACTAGACATCTCTTGTATAGATATAGCTTGTTGTGAGTTTTAATTTTCAAGCTTTTTTTCTCATTTATTTATTATTTGGCTTCCATTTTTTTTCCCACAGAAGAGTGTGCTTTTGTGTGAGAATATAGCATGGATTTTAAAATGTGTTGTGGTTTTTGCGTATCTTTTTTTTTTCTAGCAGTTAACACTGGAAATGTAACAACTGAAAATTCACAAAGTTCTTAAAGTATCAGTTTGTGTTCTTATGTTCAGGAGCCCTTTGAGGATCTCGTTGAGCCAGTGCGTACATGTAAATGAGTGAAAGCAATAGAAATGTTCAATTAAAAACATTTAAATAATCCACTGTTCATTTACAAAAAAAAAAAAATGTAAATTTGCATTTTATCACTGTACATACGTCATGACTTTATTTACAGTAACATGAGTATTTCTGTCCAACAGAAGAAAATTCACTTGTGACATGATTTTTTTTTCCTTTTCTTTAAAAAAAAAAAAAAAACTTAACTTCCTCTTAAAAATATGTATGTAAACGTTTGTTTTTTGAACAAGCACTACTATTTCTACTTTAATGAAGAGGCAGGCCAGAAACGTGACTGTATTATTCTCTGACTTGGTAGAATTGTCCGTTCCCCTTGTCTTTATTTCCTACCTTTGCTATTCCCTCATGTTGTTATTGTTTATGTACAGACTCTTTATGGTAGTTTGATGAAATTTGTTATGACATTTCAGCAAGATTTTCTTCATTCTTTTGTATTGAAAGTGCTTACTGATGTTGAGATTTTTTAAGTGGTTTTAAAAACCAATAAACATTTTGTAAAGTATTGCAAATAATTTGTTCTGTCTGTTTCAGACCATTTGGAAAGCCAGGATTGGCTTGTGTAAAAATAGTACAACAAATCTCATTTTAAAGATTAATTTAAATGATTGTGTGTAAAGAATGCAAAGCTTAGCTCTGGATGCAAGTCCTGCCAGCCTTATTTTAGAATAAAACAGTCAACCAGTTCAAGCTGTACTTTGAGCATGGAGAAACAGCTCAGCCAGATCCCTATCTATATGGTTAAGGTGGCTTTTTAGCCAGGTTAACCTTTATCACGTACAACCAACCTATTGAAACTGATTTAAAGGCACAATATGTAAGATTTTTTTATTAAAATATCCAAAAACCACTAGAACAGTATTATATATTTTGCTGACTTCTGTACGTACATTATCCCAAATGTTTCGAAGAATGTTTAAATCCAAAGAAATTAGTAATTTTAACTAGTGACACGGACCGTGTCTGTGTCTCATTTAGAAGGCTGCGCCCTCCGGAGGTCGCATTCGAAGGCTGCATACGTCATCGAGGCTGTCTCATTTCAGAAAAGCTCCGAATGCGACCTTCTTTCACAGGAATTCGGAGGATGCATGAGGTGTATCCTTCGCTGCTACAGATAACCCACAATTCTTTGCGTCGCCGTAAACAACTGTTGTTAATTTGAAAAATGCCGGCACCGGTAGATGTACACACAAGCGCAGATGTGGTGTTTACAACTTACCTTAAATCGCCTCGGTAAAAACGGATAAACATTTTTAATATCCTCTTCCTTTTTTTTTCTCTAACAGATGTCTGCTGTATGTATGCTGCAGCTCCTCAAACATTGAACAAAATAAAACAGGTAAAAGCATTTTTTTTTTTTCAAATTACTTTCCAAATTTAGAAATAAGTTTCCTTCATTTAAGTAGTGTGAGAGCGCAAGGATGCTCTAAATGTGTTGGCATAGCAACGTGATACTTCCTGTTTCCTTTTCCGCCCACCCTACGAAGGCTGACTCGTTTAATTCTGGGTTGAGGACACTCCATATATGCATCCTTCAGAGGATGCGACCTACAGAGGATGCGACCTCCAGAGGATGCAGCCTTCGAGATGAGACACAGCTGTTGTCGTCTTTTCTCCTCTGTTCTCTGCCGTTGCTCGTGGATGATGTTGTAGTTGGTGGATGAGTCTGTGTGCTGCTGCTGCTGTCTTTCATCTTGAGGTTCTGATGGGCTTGAGGAGACTGACGGGATGCAGGGGTGAAGGTGCTCTGAGGTTGTTTGCTGACACACTGCTGGTGTTGAGCTGAGTTTGTGATGCCTTCAGGGGTGGAGGTGCTGTGTGTTTGTGTGCTGTCACACCTCTGATGTGGAGTTGTGGTTGTGGAGCATTCAGGAGTGGGGCTGCTCTGGGTTTGTGTGCTGACACACTGCTGTTGTATTGTGTGTATCTGGTTTCTGGTCTCTTCCAGCAGTCTCTCCAGTGTGTGGCTGCCTTAAAAATAAATGGAGGTAAATGGAGGAGCTGCGATAACGTTTACATTTATCAACCGATTTCAGAGGTTTGTGATCTACATGGAGTTCAAAATAACTGCCTCCAGTTATTTAGTTAGGTTTGGAAAATTATTCATTTTCATAAGAAATTGTGAAAACTCACACTTGTCTCACTTGTTGATTTGATAGATTTTTTCGGTTTACAATTCTAATGTTAATGTAGTATAACTGTGACATACATGTTTTGTAATTTGAATGTACATTAAATTAAATTAAGTTGTTTCATTGCGTTCTCTGTCTTCAACCCCAACATTTTAGCTTTTCTTGTGCTTCAGGTCAGAACACAGCTCATTCCCTTTGAAATACTGGAAGAAAATCTAAATAATACATCTTTAAGCACTAATAATTTACCATTGAGAAAATTGAATCAAACCAGCGAATACAAATCAAAAAGTGACACTCTTGGTAGTCTGCTCCTTTAATTCTAGGTTGAGGACAATTCGTATGCATCATACAGAGGATGCGACCTCCAGAGGATTCGACCTCCGGAGGGCGCAGCCTTCTAAATGAGACTGCCAATGATGTCATAACCCCTCGATTTCCGGTTTTGTTTTGTAGAAAACATGGAAACACCAAAGACGCATGATTCCACACTCAGTCACGACTTCATCAAACTACGCCTTTGTCTCCATTGTTTATTTTGAATACGTGCCCTCTAGTGGCGAAAATTACATATTGTGCCTTTGACAGGGATTTATGAGAATTATTTAACAAATATGTACCTATTAAATATATAGGGATATAGTGTTTACAGAAGCACTGTGTGTTTCATGGGAAGTAAAAGGGAGATTCTCCTTTGGCTGATGATGAGTCACTTGCTTTGCATGAAATTTGAACTCAACATACAAACAGACCCATCACAAATGAATAAAGCTTTCACTTGACCAGCAGATGGCGCCATAACGCACTCCTCATAAACAACCCTTTTCCCATAAACTAACATGCGAGGTCGTCAAGACAACAAACATAGCTATTGAATGATTTATTGCCTCTGTGATTGTCTTGAGTGACACCGTGAATGCGAGCGGCTGAGCTCATATCAATCACTGTATCTCCAGCGTGTGACTCACTGAGGACGTCCCCCCAGCTTCGCTCTTTAATTTGACTACAGCCCCAGTTTCACTTCAGTGTTGACAGCGGCGCGTGGCGAGCTAGTCGCTTTTTTATTTTAGATGACTTTTTTGTAACAAACGGAAAACTGCGGTGGAAAGCGAGTTTAACTTTTAGACTTTGTGACCACGGACGAACCATGGCTACAATAACGTGTCGAGTGCAATACCTGGAGGACTCGGACCTATTCGTGTGCTCAAATTTCCCCGAGCCCCGCAGACCTCTGCAGTATGACCTCAACGAGCATTTGCTGTTGAACGAGCAGATCGCCGGTATTCACAAACTGCTAGAAGCTCCTTTGAAGGTTAGTCATTTACCTCATGTTGTAGGTGTGCTTACCTGCGCTGAATGCCTGCTAACAAGTGTCAGCGTGGGGAGTTGATTATTTTAGCCATTAAAGCTGCGTGTAACCTCACGTTGTGGCTAAAGTTTGTATTGTTTAACAAAAGGCTTGGTTTATTTTGTCATTGAATAGTCCATAGATGAAACTCCTGTTTATGGGGTATCTATCTGTCTGTCGTAAATGAACGGAATGAGATGTAGAAATGTTACATACCTACTTTTTTCGTAATGGGGGAAAAATCAGCTAGATAGTATATGTCCTCGGTAATTGAAATTAGTCAGTTGTATGTTATATAAGTTTGTTATACATATCTAATAATTCACACAAACACTACAGAAAACATGATATTTGTGCCTCTAATACTTAAAAAGTCATGGAACACCACAGTGTACTGTATTATTTTAATATATCGCCTGTGTAGAGCAATGTTTGAAGGAAGTAAACTGTCAAATTCAAGACCACATGCCCTCATTGAAGGACATGTGAATGTCTATAGGTTGGGTAACTCATCATTCACTTGCCTAACTGAAGATGCTGGAGCTTCAACGTTTTAATAATTGCTATGCTAGCAATCAGGACATTATATAAACAGTGTTAAAATACTGTGAATGAAGGATTCAAAGGTCCATATATGCTGCACACACTAGAAATGTTTCCAAGTGTCTATTTGTTCACAGAAAAAAAAAGTACAAAAAGCTGTCACTTGGACAGTGCCCTTTGTAATAGCACCTTTAAGTACTAAACTGTACCAATGTGTACCTTTAAGGTACTAATGAGCACTCTTTAGGGATAAGGTACCACCCCATTGACTGCTTTTGTACTTTTTCTGTTAGTGTACTTCTGTTTGGCTGTATGATAAAATAAGCATGCATGGGTTTGTGTGTGAATCCTTGAGTGCATGATGTGAGAGAATGCAAGTAACTATTTGAGAGGGTCGCCAGAATTGCCTGCAGCTGGAGAGTGAGCTGATGCTTGCGGAAAGGGTGGGATCTGTAAACAGAAGATAAGCTCAGCTCCTCAATCAACCCATTATTACAGCACAGCTTCAGACGTGACTCTGTATCAAACACCACCATTCGACAACAATGACCTCTCTTTGTTGTGCACTAGTTGATGGCTAATGATGGCTGTTTTGTTTTGTATGAGTGCATGTTCATATGCTATAATGTGAATGTGTCTCAAGAGTTACACATTTGAGATTGGATTTTTACTGTAGTTGTGATGTAGTTTGTGTCTTGCCAGATCAAAATGTGTGGGAAGATGACTCGTCTTCCAGTTGCACATTCAAAAAGCATGAAGAGTCTAATATGAAACCGTAATCTGTTTATGTGCTGTGTCAAGTAACCGTGCTAGGCAATGATGTTCTTCTGTCTCTCAGTTAGAGGAGTGTGCACTGCAACTGGCTTCTAATGGCAACTACCTAGATCTGGATTCATCCCTTGCTGAACAGAGAGATGATCTGGAGCAACTCTATGATGACGTGGAGTAAGAATGACTTCATATTTTGCCATCCAGTCGTCTCTCTCTCTTCCCTCTCTTTTCCTTTCACTGTCTTTTAGTTTACATTTAGCCAGAGATAGAAACTTGCATCTGAGATGCAAAAAAAATAAAAAGACTTAGACCTGTAAGCAACTGACTCCAAAATACAGACTCGTAAAGAACAAGTCTTTCAGTCTACCAGGAAAAAAAATGTCTCAGAGTATTGTGAGATTGTTTAGATAAAAGGGAGTTTGTCATGCGCTCTCGGTCATGAAAACAAAAATGCATTTTTTTTAACAATGGCATTTAAAGAAAGAAAAAACAAATGTTTTCATTAAATTATTATTTGTTTAATTTAACGAAGTTCCTCCCTTCCTGACTTGAATGAATAAACTGTTAATTAAAAGTAGTATTAAAGATTAAATTATTATTAATTCATGAAAAACCTTGTCTACATTGTGTTAGGGTGGAATTAATTAATAATCAGGGAAATCCTTCAAAATAATAACTAATTAAAAATATATATTTTTTGTTATTGGTGTAAGTCAGGTGTCAAATCTTAGTCTTGATTTGGCCTTGAAAGACTTTGACTTGGTTTAGTCTAAAGTCAGAGACTTTTGAACATGTCTGCCTCCATCTAACCCTTCTTTTAATTTTTATAACAAATAGGAAAAAACAGCATAAATTGCATAAAAGTGAAGAAATATTTCCATTCTTGGGTCAGTCTGAGTTCTTAGTCATATTCAAGAACCAAATTTAGGAGAATCTTTTATATGGTGAATGTTACTTACACACACACACACACACACACACACACACACACAGATATTCTTAGTGAGGGCAGAGGGAAGGAGTGGACAACATTAGTCACAGACGCTGGGAACGTGGCTTCATAATGATAGAGCGTTTAGAAGAGAGAGTGGATAAGAAAAGCTTGCAACACTCCACTGAATCTGGTTTTTGGGATGTGCAACAATGTAAAATTTTGACCTCTTGAGATATTGTTTTGGATGCATTTAACTGCACTCAGCATTAGCTTTTTAAATACAAAGGGTGTTTCAGCACTGCCCTCTCTAATGCTATATTTAGTTGTTTTTTTATTACATGGTGTCATCAGAATATATTCATGACTCAAGTGTCTTAATGCTCCTCTTGTAGAACACTTGTATGTTGGCTTTGTAGATCTGATACAAAAGCTTCTTTGAGATTATAAATACATTCTTAAATGACTATTTATATTGATTGCTATAACATGGACCACAGAATAAAGAAGTCCGAAACTTGACTTGTTTGTGATGATACAGCTGCTACATTGCAGGTCCTGTGGGATGCTTGTGTAAAAAAAAAAAAAAAAGAACAGGCTTCAGCCAACACACTCTTGTGACATTCGTAACAAATTGGTGGCTAATTTGTATGAATTCATACAATCTCATTTGTACATTTCCACATGGTCTGCTCACGCCCAACTAATGGTAAATTTAGGGATAGGGTTAGGGGTGTCCTTATTTTATTTTATTTGTTTGTATGTTTTTAATCCAACCTCATTTCAGACTTTTATTTTAGCCTGCCATTGTCAAGGAGGTCTGTCTGACAGAAAAAAAATCTAATCAAAGAAAGAACATTTCCTGTATGTTTGTAGGTCTCCATCCCGGCACATCTATCCATTTGTTCCTTTGTCAGATGGAACAGAATTTAAACAATGCTGCAGAAACTGTTATAGTCAGGAAATGCACTGATGTCTCTATTCTCTCTGTGTTTGTGTTTAGTCTTTGACGCTATACTTGAGGAATTCCCCAATTTGAGTTTATTTTTGTAAACTAATGTCAACAATGACTAATTTCAACATAACTTTTCCGTTGAGAGCCAGTGAGCATCTGTTCAGTCTTCTTAGATCATAACTGTTGAATAAGTATTTGACGTTTTATTAAGAAAATGCTTTACTCCGCTAAAGGCTCAGTCATGTTCAAAATTCTGAAAAAATACAATATAATGAGCAGCAGTTTTGGGGGTGTACCATGATTCTTATGATGATAGGGTGGTACACAGTACAGCTTGAAGAAAATTGGATTATTCATAAATTAAAGTTTAAGAATATAAATTTCTATATAAAAACAGGCTAATTAATAAGGATCTATGACTTTGGACATATTGTTCTTTCTTCTGTATTACAAATTGAACGCCTTCAGTATGTTTATTATATGACTGAGATCAACTTTTGCACTGGCTAAACTGCAAACAATGCTTGGACTAAATGCACTTATTTTTCAGATGAATGGTTATTTATTATTCATTTATACTGTTGAAAACTTGCCAAACTTTTATGTGGAAGGTCTGTGACCCCTGTTCAGCATTACCTAATTATGACCGGTATCAGTTTCACTAAATCATTTATTAGTGTTGCTTAGTAACGCACAGTCGTTGGACCCACCAGAAGACATGAGTGATTTCACACAGGCAGAGCCAGCGTTTCAGTGAGTGTGTGCTGACCACAGCTTAGACTGACAGTCTCAGAATACACCGAATAGAGCTGAAACACTGAACCACAAATCTAGAATTCTGAGTCAGCTCAAACTGAAGGATTGCATAACTTTGGATCTGTAATACTACTTATACTCGGGCTGTTTTTTTTCCAGATTTGTTCAGCCGTGCTCTGGAGAACCACTTTAAAACCCAGCAGAGTGCTGTATTTGTAAAGAGCAAAATTAATACAAGTGCACTCCATTTGTTTGTTTAACTACAGGTTAAAAACTTGGGGTCTATAAGATTTTTTTTTTTTTCTTTTAAAGAAATTAGCAAGGAGACATTAAATTAATCAAAAGTGACAGTCATTTATACTGTTACAAAAAAATTATATTTTTTTATATTTTAACTTTCGGTTCACCAAAGAAACCTGAAAAAAAATGTTTTGCCATTTCCACAAAAATATTAAGCAGCTCAACTGTTTTTAATATTGATTAAAAGATGAAATGTTTGAAGACTGAAAATTTGGCTGCTGAAGATTCAGCTTTGCCAAAATATATAAATAAAAAATATATAATGAAATAGAAAACTTAAAAAACAAACAACTGTTCTATTTGAATATAATTTTACTGTATTTTGGGTCATATAAATGCAGCCTTGGTAAGCATAAGAGACTTTGTTGAAGGAGAACTAGCAGCTCCATGCCTGTGGAAATGCCATAATTTCTCATTATAAAGTATTTTAAATGGGTGGTCTCATTTTTCTAAGGGCTCAGTGTTTCTGTGTTTGTGGGTGTGTGTGTTTAAAGCATACATGGTGTGTATTTGTAAGCCGGCAAAAATGTAGCGACAGCTGCTCCTTCAGGTTCGCCGAGATTGGCAAGAGGAAACACGTCATTTGAAACGACAGCACTTGGAAAATAGAAGACACAATTGGGGTGTGTGTAAGAATGTCTGTGTCTTTGTGACTGTGTGTATGAACCACACAGAACATCGTGAAGAAAGCATAAGCCATGGATTAGTCAATTTTTTAGCTACGAACACCCTTGATGCATAGTTTCCATGCCTGTTTACTCTCTCTTTCCATACCTTAATCCCTACCGACCCATATTCTCTCTTTCTGACTCCGTCTCCAGTCTGCCTTCAGTGTAGTGTGTCTGTAATAATGACAGATTTACAGTATTCTTTAAATGTATTTTACTCCATCTTATCATTAAAGTAGGGAAAGAATTCAAGTGGACAGAATTCACCTAGAATAATAATAAGCACAAACTGTGTTTCTGAATGAAGTTACTGGGTTTGATGTGTGATATCTTAATTCTCAAATTTTCTTCTTTCTACAGAAAAGGCAAAAAGCCCATCTTGATTCTCCGTACGCAGCTCTCAGTACGGGTTCATTCCATCCTAGGTAAGAGTGTACGCACTGTAATACTCTATGATGAGCATATGACTGATTTGCATGCTTATTTCATAAACATTTGTATCTGTATTGCTGAGGTGGCAAGTACGTCATTCCTGGCTTTCCATTCTGGCTGTTGGTTTAGTTTGTCTTGGAGAAGGCAAAAATGGACCACGTTCTCCAAAAATGCTGAAATGGTATTATCCCTGTATAGTTTTTTCCCCTCAGTTGGGAACTTTCCAACTATATCCTCATAATCCTCAGTGACAACTTCAGGTTCAGCTGGCCTTTCATTGTAACATGGATCTGTTAAAGTAATGAACATAAGAGTTCCCCACTTAAAGGTGCACGAAGCAATATTTGAAAAAACGCTTTTGACCACAGTGTCGGACTGAGTCCCAAAACACACTTGTAGCCAATCAGCAGTATGGGGTCTTGTAATGATAGAGAGAAGAACACGCTCAATTTGAGTGCACAGGATGGATATTAGCAGATCGACTATAGATGGAGAGAGATGACAGATAAAAAAAGAGGAAAATATCAGAGAAACAAAACATTAAAAAGAAGGGTTACGATCAGGCAAGAGGTAGGACCAGCGTAAATATCGAAGCAGCTTTCCAGCGGTGGAGAGAACTCAAGAAGCGGGAAGGCCTGGAATCGGACACCGAGGTTGCGTTGTTTTTTCTTCTTGATAGGTACATAACATTGATTTTGCTTTGTTTCACACAACTTATCCGTGTTGGCTTTTGTTTGAATATGCTGTGTGTCATCTTCACTTGTTTCCGCGATTTGTCTTTGCAATGGTTGTGTACGTACGCGTGGGGCGGAGATTTCAAAATAGGGGCAAAGTCCTGTTGGGCTATGGGCGTTTGTTTTGGTGCTTTCAAATATCGACATCGTTTGGCAAAAATCGCTTGGTGCACCTTTTAATAGTTCAACTACAATTGGTTCAAGTCATGGACTGAACTGCCTTCGTTTTTATTTTGTACTGTTCTCTGAGGTCCACTTGTAATGTTATCAAAATGTTTACTTTAAAAAAACATAATTTAGAAGTAATAGGCTATTTTCTGTTCTGTTTTAACCCCCCTCATCAGAACTCTCTGTTTGAATATGCGTGGCGGATTGTCGACTCAGCAGTAAGCGCCCACTGCTATGATTGGCTAACAGTTGTGCATGTTTGATAGCCTACAGCCTTCACAGATGGACGCTGCTGTGATTTAGGTTAAAAATGCATAAATACTTAGTACATATCAAACGATCTGTTTAACAGACAAAGCAGTAGTGACACACTTGTGTTGTGACATTACTGTTGGATCCAATATAGTCGGCACAGCATTGTCTTTTAGTTTCAATGTCTTTGAAAATTCCGTGTCCAATTGTGCCTTGTTTGTAAACAAATCCATGGTAAAATGAAATGACGTGAAAGTGCGGTCTGTATCTTTATTAAAAAATAAAGTTCATTCACTTTCCTGACGTTGGGATCAGAAGGAAGGCAATGCAAAGACTGTTTTTCCACAACTTGGCACTGCACAGCATCTTGTTGTCTTCAGAGCCATCTTTATCGTTTGGTTTCTGTGTAGACCTGCGCGTCTCATAAACACTACATGCGCGAATCAATGGGCGTGGCTAAACGGGCAGCGATGTGGAAGCAGGCGTTGATCTTATTCTGCGGAGGCGGTGTTTAGCCATACTATTAGATAATAGAGTTGTACATTCCACAAACTGTCGTTTTAGCAGATTGGCTTCAATGTAAGCTGTTTTTAGACTGACAAGAAAGTTTTGAGTTCTGAAACTTACAGGATCTTTTGTAAAACTTTTGTTCTGAAACTTACATTGACCTCTTATATGTCAAAAGTTTTGATTTCTCAGTTCATGTCCCCTTTAAACAACTCTTGTGCAACTACTCTGACCATTAAGCTGTTGTTGAGTGAATTACGATGGTGAATGATAACAATAAGTCCAGATATTCTTCACTCTCCTTCAATTAGTTTTTGGTTCAGCTAGACTTCATAAATATAAGCTTAAGGACAAAACATCTCCCATTACTCTCTTTAATGACCAAGCCAAAGTAGCTTGACTAGATTATGCTAATAATAAGGACTAAGTCCATGGTCCAGTTTTGGCACCAGATGTGTCCAAAACTTCTTTCCAGTCCTGTTAAATGCATAATCCCCTTCACAAATGTATATACTTAGAAAAACATTAATACTCAAATAGCATATCTAAATGGCTAAAAAAAAATCTAATTTCTGATGTCCAGGGTGTAGTTACAAAGTTACTTTTGTGAGGGTTTCCTCTCCACATATTTAGAAAGTGCAGAATGAATGGCACCCCATCAATGTGACCAAACCAGAACACTCCATTTATAATCAACATGTCCATCTGCACTGCAAGTTTCAGGTATACACAATTTCATGTGATGATATAAACATTTAATTGTTCACTTTATTTAACTACATTTATTTGTATTATTTATTTAAATTATTATAGTTTTTGTTATTGTTGTTGTTTATTTGCGGCTTTTAAAATGTTGCCACAACTTGCCAGGGCCTAGTCACGCCCCTGTGATTAGCTGTCATTTTCATTCATATTGTGTGACATATAGAGAACAGATGAGAAGGTGGAAATAAGGACTATGGAAACCTAGTGATACCCTCTGTGTATACACTATGAATGAACACCTGTCTCTCCTCCATCCTGTCTGTGAATGCATGTCTTGCATTATATTATGCTGATGTATTTTTCTACTGATGGGAAATGTTTGAATGGATGTTGGTTTTTGTGTGTGTGTGTGTGTGTGTGTGTGTGTGTGTGTGT